CTCAAACATTCATTGGTCAACCCCTTGAAAATTGAAAAGAAAATGAAAGAGGACATGTGGAACATCAATTTTCTGTGCAGCCTGTGAGAGTTGTATTTTTAAGATATTTGTGAAGTATGGGGATTTATCCCTGCTGTTTATGGGAATTTATTTTTAGTGGTGCACCCCTAGGCGGGCTGCGCGATGGTTCCGGAAGCTCGCTGCGTGACCTTTTACTCTCAGGCTGTATTCATTTAACAAAATCACATATCCAAAGTGATGCTAATTAAAGAAAGAATCACAACCCAACAGTAGCCACTAAAAGCATTCAGTGATAAGAGATAAGAAACAATATTTACCACAAACTTGCTCATCTCGTCCGTTGAGGCAGTCTTCGCGCCCATTGCATCTGGCTTCTGGAGACACGCAGGAGCCGTCTTCACAGTCGAAAAGACTACTGTTGAAAACTTCACATGAGGGTTGACCTACAGTAACAATTATAATTGGTGCATTCCTAAACTATTTAACATTCAGACATTACCGTAACTACAGGTTTCGGCCAATCAGACTCACGTTATAGGTAACCAAAAGATACTGGCTTTAAACATGGTTTTAAACATAAGGCAGTTTAGACGATATACTCGTCAGCTCAATATCTTTATCTTGGATGGTATTGGTGACCAAGACCTATGGTAGTGCACCCTGCTGATCTTGGTTTTGGCTCAGCACAACCAGAACTGGTGAGCTCCGCAGACCACCATGTAAATTCCGAAACATCACTTTAGAGCAATAAGGTTCCCGATTCACAGAGGGTCCCCGATTGACAACTGTGTACAAAACATATAGGTGGTCTTCTAAAAAAGTTAGAGTACAAACAAAAGAGGAACAATAGGGGTCCCCAGTTGCAGGCAAATACACACTTGGGTGGGTGTGTGTGTGTGGGGGGGGGTTGCACTTGTTAAGGTGTGTGTGGGAGCTCTTCTATGTATAAACACAGCCACTAATCGAGGTCGCGTTGTAAATCGAAAACGTAATGAGTTTGCAATACAGTGAAATTTGCGGCCACAGTCAGCATTTCTGATGGTCAGCAAAATCTCAAGGCGTTTGGAAACCGTCCTCGGTGTACGTATTTAACACGCCAGATGTTTAAAAACACACGCCCTAAATTGACAGTTTTGACGCTCTGCTACGCTGGTCCTGTGTCGGGTCGGCCGGCGGCAGTCCGGATCGCTGAGCACAATAAACGTCGCCAAGTGACACAAAACCTCAACACATATAAAAGTCAGATTGTCCAAAAGCATCACAGAGTCACCTTTCCATTACGCCTGTGGACAGCTGCAGCAGTTCTCAGATGTAATTTTCTTATACCTTAAAATATTGTGAGTAAAAACGATTTCACCACATGTAGTAGAATACCAGTATAGTATAACCAGGCCCTGTCTCGGTACCATCTACTACACATCATTACATGCAGGACCATAGTATTGGCTAGTACTTAAAGTATGGCTACTAGTACAACCACCATGTTGTTGATAAACTAACGTAGATCTTAGACCTCTGTTTGAGTGAATGTGCCAGTGTAACAGGGATAGGCAGTTGGAAAAGCTTTATTACATGATCTATATTTACAGTATCAGGTCTTTTAAAATTGTGTTTAAAAGGGCATTTTGTTTGGCGAATGTGGGTCTTCGATCCAGCTTAGATACCCGACCCCCACCAGTCCACCCCAAAGAAGCATGGGTTGAAGGAAGACAGTGGAATGAAATTAATTTTCTGTTCCAGCAGTGAGGCTAGGGAGAGAGAGAAATGTTTGTCGTAAATAGTACACTATAACTCACAGCATGGCGTATTTGGTCTGCAACCTTACTTATAAGTAGCGGTGGGTATTCGGATCAGGTGGGCATACATAGTGTGGACCTCTGCACAAAGAAGTCCACATAAGGTAGGGTGCGATAGCGTAGTGTGTGGCGACACGTGTGCCCTTTGAAGCCAGCACCCTGTAAGTATTGAACTTTTTATTTTCATCGCAATTAGAGTTAGTTATTGTATTTATATTTACTTTTATTACCTAACCCGTGATTGGCGATTTCTTCGCTGTTGGTTATGAAAACAAAATAAATAAAACCCACTTCACAGGCTGACAGCAGTGGTAAGAGGGCTCATGTGGGTGGATGGGTAGCTCACAAGAGTGATTTGTTGAAACCTCCTCCTGTAGATGTGTTGTTGCACCGGGTTCGTAATCCAGTGAAGAGAGATGGCGTGGCTTTGGTAGTCAAGGATTACACGTTGGTTGTGAAATTAGGCAGGCGTGAATACTTCAAACTCCGGCACGATGTAAATCAGCATGGCTACATCCGTAAGAAGGTAAGTGAACTAGGTCGAGTCGCCATAGAACTCCAAAAGAACACCCAGGAACCAAATAACTCACCTGAATTATTTGTGCATCCGCACCACCTTTCTGATATTGTCAAGGCCTTGCACGATATTTGCTGGCTTCAGGGAAGACAAACAGTTGTATGATGTTCCGTCACTAGTACTGAAGATTGGTTATTCCGTCAAGAAGTGTGCACTCGTCTTGAAAGGAATTGCCTAGTCTGGTCACAAACACAAAGTGGAACGTGCAGAAGAGATTCAGCAATTATGCGAATTGAACTGGTGAAACCTTGTGTCACACTGTCACTCGAACACAGGACACTGTACCAAAAAATAAAACGAAACAAAGTCACCATTCTCCCGACAAATTCTGATGTAGTCCAAATGTTGTCGTTCCTTCATAAAGCTGGCAACTTGGAAGGGCAACTTCTCCAGGTTGCTCGGGGCAAACAAATTGAATAAAATCACTCTCTGCTTCCTCATGCATGTTCAGGCTTAAAAGGCAGGAGGAGGTTTCAAAAATGAAACTGGAATATTTCCACAAGCACAGCACAGCAAAACTAAAGGGGAATGCCTGTTGAGTGATTTAGAACGCCATTGTGTAAGATGTTCTGTGTTGTCAAAATAGTCGGTAAGAAAAGCAGAACTGTTCCTGTGCTTCTTAACGAGGTAGTAAGGTGGTTGAATGCCCTGGTCCCAAACAAGACATCAAGCTGGAGTAGCCCAAGACAGCAACTTCGTGTTCACACGATGCTGTTATAGCGGGAGAGGCCATGTACGAAGGACTGACTGTTTATGGGCACATGCAGATAAGGCTGGCCTTGACAATGCATCCAGCATCCGGTCCACCAAACTTCGTAAACATATAACAACTGCATCTCAAATTCTTGAATTACTGGAAAATCAGCTCGAAACTCTAGCCAACTTCCTGGGCCACGATCTACGGGTACATCGCGAATACTACCAGTTGGCAGATACTGTACGGTGGGTCACCAAACTGTCAAGACTTTTCCTAAGTTTGGAGAGGGGCAACCTGTCTTCCCAGCAGGGCAGGGCTTGATTTCAAACTACCTCAACAAAGCCCAGACTCACACTGTTAAGGACATCAGACCCTGCCTGACACATTATTTTCCTTCCTAATCACCCCCCCAAAGAAGGAAAAATAGACAAATACAAGGAAAAATGGGCCAAAAATCACCTCAATAGGTGTATCTTGCCCAAAGAACTCCAAATATAATGTTCCATTTTTTCCAGCCACCTCCACCCTCACTCCACCACTCCAACGCCAAGAAGAGACAGCCAGATACCTGTAAACGTACGTGTACTTTAACTGATGGATTTCAATGTTTTCTGTTTACTCGCAGAAGGCTTCACCAGTGAAGAGGAATGGAGCGACAGTAAAGACTCCCATGATAAATCAGTCGAAAATAGTAAGATTTGGCAAATCTGTCTGTCTGTCGGGCTGACCATTGGGAGGCCTGGCTGTCATTTTCTTACCTCTACAGCATTTGGCCAAGTGGTTAGGGTCTGTGGCTTCAAATCATAGGGTTGGAGGTTCGAATCCAGCTGGTGGCTGTGTGTTGTGGCCCTTGGCAAGTCACTTCACTCCTGCTTGCCTCTCTCCGCCCAGGAGCATAAATGGGTACCAGCATTAGCTGGGGAAGCAACCTGCGATGTACTGGCATCCCATCCAGGGGGAATAGAAATATTCTCAGTCGTTTTATACCAAGGAAACCGGAGATAAACACCGGCCTGATGAGCCCAATTGGCTGGGACCAGACTTGCTTTTACCTTAACAGGACAGATTCCTGGCGATGCCGCCCCCTGCGGAAGAGAACCGCACCTTGCCATCACGATACTCGGGTCAAGCTACAACTTGGTAGTGGATATAACCAGCTGTTTCAAGACGGTTTTTGCGTGCCAGTTTCAAGAAATGGATGTCAGCTATACTTTGCGAAAGACATGTATTTATAGTATCAAGGGAAATCGTTTTAAATTTAAATATGGGTCATTCTGTGCTTAACCTGAACAAATCATTATTACAGATTTTTAACGGAACTAAATAATCATCCGCACAGAGAGTGGGTTGAATACGTCTCGAAGGATGACAGGATACTTTTTCCAAAAAACACTTGTTACTGTAAAAGTGAAGCCCACTATAAATGTATTTTCAGCACAAAAGGAAACTTTTTATTGAAACCTGTTAAAAAGAATGTTGCATGATAGGAATAATATAGGCGTTCTAGCGAATCCTTCAACTTCCCACAAGAAACAAATATGATGGTTTGGAGTCAAGTCGAATGAAATTCCAAGTCACTCTTTTCGGCCCCAAATTTATTGAACAACCCAATCCCTTTTGCGGGACGTCTTAGTTAGAAGCACAGGTTTCCGTTTGCTTTGCCGAGGTTGGGTTTGAGTCGTTTAATAAGTGGTCTCTTTGAGTTGTTATGATCCCTGTCTGTAACCGGCGGTTGTCTAGGAAAGCGGGGCTCTGTGTCGTCATTTAGTTTGACAAGTGTAACGTGTACCGCCACATATTGAGAGACGAATCACCAAGGGGCGGCAGTGATAACTTTATTGCAGTGCTGATAATTGATAGCACCTTCAGGCTAGTAAAGCAATAGGAAACCGAACAAATTTCTGCACTCGCCTATAATATGATAAAAACCCCATTCCGATAGCCTGAATATGATTTTTCAATAATTCATTTAACAAGCACACTTATCCACTAAATGTATTGATATTTTTAAAGAAAAATCAGAGATAATTTTATAACAAACAATGCTTACCACAGTCTTGCTCATCTCGTCCGTTGAGGCAGTCTTCGCGCCCATCGCATCTGGCTTCTGGAGACACGCAGGAGCCGTCTTCACAGTCGAAAAGACTACTGTTGAAAACTTCACATGAGGGTGGACCTGCGGGGAAAGTTATGATTTTTCCGTTCACAAACTGACCCCTCAAACGAGGGAGTGTGAAAAATTGTGTGACACAAATCACTTGTTTGATCACCTGACAAACTAGCTAAGACAGCCTCACCTCGATTTTAGGAATTCCATTAACCTCCCTTTCACTTTACGGGGAGGGGTGGCTCGGTCATTCTAGAAGCGCCACAACGTTGTTGGGAAAATACCTACTTCTATATGTTTGCATGCAAACTCATACTCCCATATGTTTGTGTAAAAATTACCACCCCCACCCCGGAAAAGTGTAGTAGGTCACTCTTGTCACTGCCTTGGATCGTTGCCGAATGTCCCACTGGAGCCTCGCGGCTCTCCACACTGTAAAATGTTGTATACCTCTGGGCATATCCTGCTGATCCAATTATGCTGGATAAGGCAAAGACTGGTGCTATCTTGGAAGTCTCCCAATTTTGGTCACTGAGATCCCTCCCCCACCACAGACTAATCCCCCAAACATACTTAGATGTTTTGCTTTGGACTTGGATTATTTCCAAGGAAGTACGAAAATACAATTAATGTGCAGTGCTTAAAGACGATTTATGTATATCGTGGATGTTTTTGAACATTTTTCAAATAGCGCCATCCCGCGACTGCATTGTACTAAAGTGCAACTTTTTCCCATGGGCATGGCCTTGCCGCTTCATGTTGGTCCGGCATCACGCCCTTCGCGATCCTCGAAGAACGCGCAAGCAGCTCACGGAGTCGAGGTTGACTAAATTGACCTGATAAGGTCAGTGCCTACGAGTGCATTAGGAAGCACACCACTATGACCAGAGTGTCTCTAAGGAGCACTCAAAAATCCTGAATAGGGTGTAGCTACAAAGTCGCCTAGCTTATAGCGTGGTAAGTACCTAGTCCCCGGTGAAGTCACACTGAAGTCACATAGGTTTAGAACTGTCAATCAGCCAGGGTCAAACAAATAGCATATCATATTTGAAAAACACCATCTTAAGCTTAAGAAATTTCTTGGTAATAATTACCCACTCTGGTAAAACTCCACATCCACAAGATACTCTTCGACAAAATAACTGAGGTAGGGAACTTTGAAGACGTCTACAAAAACCGTATTACGAAATATGTGTGTTGATAGAATATGGTTTTCCATCACTGAGATATGTTTTACTTTTGCAAAGTCTCACAGATACATAATTCTAGGTCTTTTTCTGCTTTTACTTAGGTTTTTTTACTGCTCTCCAGCCCATATTTCTTCAGGTATGGCTGAATGAATATTCGTGTTAGTAAGCATCGACAGACAGTGAGACTTGAACGGCGCCCTCTGTTGATTCACCTAGTTATAAGTTGACAGCCTAAAGGGTGCAGACCACTAATTCAAGTGAGAATTTCTGGCCAGCTCATTAGCATTAAAAGTGCCCCCACAGTATCTTTTTTAAAAAAGGAGATTGTTTGGCCCCCAAAATGACGAGATTATGTAAATCGTTGCCGGGATCAACTCCCTGGGTCTTTGAGCTTTCATGTGAGAGCAGAAGGGCTCAGAAACTACGGTTGAAAAATGGTCCTAAGTGCCCCAGAAAGTTGAGGGTTGCCACTTGAAAAATGGCTGCAATCAGACTTTGGAAAAATCACTTTTTGGGGGTAATTTTGTTTTGTGGGAATAATTCAAAATGTAATTGGTTANAATTTGTGTTTCAGAAATCTCAGGGATGTTGGCGTGTATGCTATTGGGCCCTGAACAGTGCTGATTTTACACTGTTTTCAATGGGGCTTGAATTAGTGGACTGGACCCCTAACGGTCTCAATCAAAAGCGCCCCCAATATTTTGCATATCTAATCACCAGCCAGTCATTCCGTCAAATGTGATTATTTTGCCAAATTTCACACTTCATTTTTCCCACCTAAACTTCTCCAAATCCCAAGGTTAACTGTGACTCTCAAACCAGCCTACTTAACCGCAAATTATCCCAGACCAACCCCGTGCGTGAATCTGAAAAGTAAGTGAGATCGTTCCTTTATAATTTGGAGGATTTCAGGGGCCCTTTTTGTCTCCAGTAGAATCAAAGTTATCCATAATATTTTAAGTGTAAGTTACAGTGTAGTTTTGCACAGTGTTTAGTCAATTCCTGTTTGTATTTTATTCCATTTACTTCTGCTCACACATAACTATTAAGGCCACATGCCCGTGTCAATTGCCTTTCGGAAATTATTCCTGTTCTTATATTTTGTAGAACCACGGGACACGGGTGACAGTTTCACTAGTCACGGGCTACCAGAGTTTTTTCCAGTTTACATGGGCTGCGCAGTTTATAGCCTTCCATAATTATCACAGGTCACTTGGTTTCCATGGTTACTACATTCCCGCTTGGGTCACCACTGCACCAAACAAACTTTATGTGAACTGAACCTTGCAGATCCCTAGTTAATAAACATTCTAGTTGGAGTTAAGAACCAAGCGCCATATTTCCTCGCTCATTTTTTCAATTCCCTCAAATAGCACTACAGCAGTTTTTCTCTATTAAAACTACGGCTCCAATGTAATAAGTAAAATTCTCGGAATTTTATTTTATGAAAGGCAAAAGGTGGCACAAGTTCTCTTTCTACGTCAATCAATATGAACCTGGCGTGGTATGCAGACCTTCATGGCATTGGCAGCAATGGTGGAACTGTTCCACCATATACTTTCCCCACCTCTGAACCTAACACTGAAAAGGCCACAACCAAGAAACTTAAAACAGTACACCCAAAAAACTGCTAAGTGACACGATGTCTATCCACTTTGACTGTTAACTTATTTGCCCGGAGGTGAGGAGCCGTCGCGTCGTCACCAAGAACAAAAACGTCAGTTTAAAAGGCTTTTAAAATATGCAGGGGGAAAAGGCCCGGAAAATGTTAACAAACTAGGCCAATTGGCAGTGGTTGCTTGGTGTGATATCGACAAGCCACAGGGGGCTCACTACTCTCGGCCAAGTCTGGTCACAAAGTCCTCCCAATAAACAGTGCCCACTGCTGGTGTATTGGTTGAGCAAAGGAGCGATAGTCAGACATCTCGGTATTTTCTGTTTTTGAGTAACGTATTGTTTAGTTACGTCAAGAGGCATTGGGGCAATCAAGTCAGACCCACGCTTCCCATCGACAGGCCACTAGGGGCAGACATGTCACTTCTTTAGTAAAACGTCTTTTGAAGTGTTTTTTCTAGAATAAAGTGAATCTTTTAAATCTCTTTTTTTTTAATGAAGTGCCTTTGGATTGGGTGACTGGTAATCTTTATGTGTTAATTATTTTTGCCAAATGCTGTCGTGTGCATGTCTCTTTTTTCTGTTTGTACCATTTTCTTGTCATGATGTTGGTCTTCCACCAGGTGTATGGTTTGTAAAAAGACTAGCAACATGAGTTGAAGAGAAAAGGACGGTGGAACGTGATCAGCAAAGGTGAAATAGTGCCCACACTAGCTCTTTACTTACCAACTATGCCGATACTGCCTTTAAGCGCCAGCAAAAACCCGCTGAATTCGGCAGATGAATCAGACGTCATTGATACATTCACCTCCGATGATCTGAAGATGATGCCGCGAACTTTCGTTGTGCCAGACAAACTGAACGTTTGAGGAGCGTTTCCATAAAAGGTGCGCCCCTCTAACTCTACGACATCGTAGCGTTTTTCCGTTTTGAAGTGCAGAATTTCCGTTATTAGTGTGCTGTTTGTTGCTGGCTCTGCTTTGATTTGCCACTTGCAGTCAAGGTTTGATGGGTAGCTATTCGGGTATCCTGGGGATGAAAACGAGCCTCTGTCCACGTTGAAGATCCTCTCACCGCAAAAACCTGCAGGAAAGGAAATTTAAACCGAATACAAAGAAATATGGTTGCTTTTGTGATGTGCTACAGCACTTCACAGCATTATGCTTACGACGAAAATCATAGAAATCCATTTCAATCATTTTAATTGTTTTCGTTTGTTGGAAGTCTTTTCTAATCTTTCTACATAAAGGTTTCCATTTTAATGTCACTTTAAAGAATAAAATCTTACTTCATTAACAGTAACTCTATTCTAATGACTAGAGAAGGAAATATTTTATGTCTGTTATCGTTTCCTCAGCGACTGCATCTGCTCGTTCTCAGCCTATCAAAGACAAAAACGTTTGCTCCCTTTCATTTGAATGTCACGCACATGAATGACCAGAGTATATTTAAATGGCTCCTGTACAATAAATATATATAGAGGTGTAACGATGCTAAGAGCAGTCAAAACTCACTCGTCGTTTTAAGGTTAACATTCTCAGCAAAATCATTTGGAATATAACAAAATACAAGAAAAAAGGAAGTCAATGCGGAAAATATTTCACTTACTCAAGTTGAGACACGCTTAATGTTCTCCGAACAATAATTTACCGAGAATTTATTTAGTTTCTGGTTCGGGAATCTAGAACAGGTGAATAATTTTAAATTAAGGTTCAGAGGGTCATCAGACACTACCATCCTTTTGAGTTTTGTCCATGGACAAGATATTCACACATTCATCTTAATCTATGGTTTGGAGTGAACAGGTGCCTCCAAGTACAGAACTGAAAATTTTGTGACTAAAAAGAAAGCATCACAGCAGTAAGGTCCAGAGTGAATGGTCTACTGGCTAATCGTCTAGAAATAATGAGAGGCAACACGACACATGTTGTTAATGCGTCGATAGCATGTGATCAACAAACACAACTCCTAGATTACATGCATTTACGACAAGGTCGACCTCTGCGGGACCAGTGTGCACTCGTATTAAAGTTCGGATGTTCTGATTTGTTTTGTTTATTTAAGTTAGCCTCCTTTTATTTGCGTGTACTATAACATTTTCTATAACGTGATTGCTTAAAAGACGCTTGTAGATTGCTAAAGGGAAAAGGACGCCTACAGCTCGGGCACGAAAAAGCTACTTTTAGAGATAATCGACTATTTTGTGCTCATATTTCTAATTAAAAATCACACAAGCCTGTGTTTTTGACTGAAGTTTGTTGATATTCCAAATAACAGTGTGCATGTGAGGGAGGAATGAAATTAACAGTAATTTACGGTTTATGCTAACAACCTTTTCCCGGGATACCCCGTGCCTAAAACGGTGCGACATTAATGCACCATGTGAAATCCTAACGACATTCCACTGGGAACATACTTTGATTGACATCGACTCTTCATTGGGACGCTAGCGCAGTTTTTGTTGCTTCAGCGTTACGTGCTAACGTCCTTTTCCGGGCAACACCACCATCACCAAAATACAATAGCACGTAAGAATGATGTATCTACTTCAGACGAAATGTATATGATATGAAAGGCATTTCACGTACTGCTTTATCAATTTCTGGAAAAACACAAAGTGACCTTTTGACCCATTTTTACCCGTGTGACCTTCTTCGGGCACCCAGCAGATTGCAAAGTTGTAGAAAAAATGCAGTCTTTTTTAATAAGTGTCACTTTAAAACCTGTAAACTTTATTTAGCTTGAAGCAAGGTAACATTTTTCCCCGGAGTGCATTATTTCCTGTTACAGAATTTTTCATCGTTTGGCCTACTTAAAATAGCATCAAATCTTTGTGAAATGAATCAGAAAAGTTGGGGAATATGTTGACACTGGAACCAGCCCAATGTGGGGGATTTCGCCTAATTGACTGGGTATCAATACAGGGAAAGAATCGAAGCCCTCGAACCTAATTATGAACCCTGAAAGAAGTACGAAGTACCTGCTTAGGGTCAAACCCTAAATTTTATTGGCCTTTTTTTAACTCTCGTGCTATGTGTGTTTTTGTTTGTTTTTCAAAATTTGAGTGCTATAAAGATTTTTATTTAGTTATAGAAGTCAGTAAAGACTGCAAATGTCGCAAAGTTTGTCAACATCGTGAAAATTAACAACTGATCTGTTTTGACTTTGTAGTTTTAAGTGCACTAGATTTAAGTCTTGTATCAGTTGTCTACCGTAAAGACTGTGTCTATTGCAAACCGTGTAACAATTTCCATCTTTGCGTTGAACGTTACGATTGTAATCAATGTTTGGAATGTTAAAACAGTAAAGATTGCATTAACTGAGTCAGTATTATGAGTAAACGGTCCCAGACACGCAAAAAATTGTAAAGGTAGACGACGAGAAGGAAAGTAAATAATCACAACAAAAAATGGCTCCTGACCCTTTTTGGTAGCTCTTCAGGAATAAATGATTTTAAAAAGAATTTCAAACATTATTAAAAGCTGATGGGTTCCGCATGTAAAATAGTTTCGTGGCTTTCAATTGGGCAGATAATAACAGGGACATGAAAATATATATCTTTCCCGTGTCTGCTCGTCGAAAATGCCGTATTGGTGCATTTAGGCAGTTTAGACGATATACCTTTTCTCGTCAGCTCTATATCTTTATCTTGTACAAACTCATAGACCTTGCGGTTAAGTTTATCCAGTGCGTTTATGATGAATATTTCTTCGGGTGTGTGGATTAACGCTCTTTTGTAAGATAATAATAATAATAGCCCTTGACTTCAAATGTGGTTTTTGTTTATCTACGTGATACGTTCCCATTCGTTTGTGCCGTAATATGCATTTCAGTGCAATTCAGAGGGTAGGATTTAATCTTTGGGGTGGGGATCATGTCATCGTATAAAGCAACATCAACTTCATAAAATGAATAGGCCTAATCCTACCGATCATTACCTGTTTGTTTTATGTGACTTTAAAAAAGTTGATAAAAATTGAGAATTTGGATTTCATTTTCTTGAATTAATATTAAAACTAGCGTGTTTGATTCATGGGTAAATAAAACAAAAACTGAATAACTTAACAACCACATCTTTCCATAATGATACCCGGGTCAAGCTACAACTTGGTAGTGGATATAACCAGCTGCTTCAAAACCGTTTTTTTTTCCTGTCAGTTTCAAGAAATGGATGTCAGTTATACACTGCAAAAGGCATGTATTTAGAATATCAAGGAAAATCGTTTTATTTTTTCAAATATGTCATTCTCTGCTTAACCTGGACAAATAATAAATACAGATTTCTTTTAATGGGATTAAATAATCATCCGCACAGAGAGTGGGGTGAATACGCCTTGAGGGATGACAGGATACGTGTTCAAAAAAAATACTTGTTCCTGTAAAAAGTAAAGTCCACCATAGATGAATTTGTCAGGACAAAAGGAAACCTTTCATTGAAACCTGTAGAAAAGATTGTTTTAGGAATAATGTAGGCTTTCGAGCAAATCCTTCAACTTCTCAGAAGAAACAAATATGATGGTTTGGAGTCAAGTCGAATGAAATTCCAAGTCACTCTTTTCGGCCCCAAATTTATTGAACAACTTAATTGCAAGACGTCTCAGTTAGGAGTAGATATGCTCCCGTTTGCTTTGCTGCTGTTTGGTTGGTGCCAATTAATGTGGTCACAAAGTGGTCACTTTGAGTCGTAATGATCCCTTTCTGTAACCGGCGGTTGTTTAGAAAGCCGGGGCTCCATGTCGTCGTCTAGTTTCACAAGTGTAACGCGTACCACCACTTACTGAGAGACGAATCACCCAAGCAATACACCAAGGAGCGACGGTGATAACTTCACTGCAGCGCTGGAGGTTAATAGTAAGCCATGAAACGCACCCGGTTTTCCTGTCATCTCGTTGCACCCACTTCGGAAACAGTTTTGATTGTGGGAAATTCACTAGTTGATGTTGTCATTGTAACGAAAGGGTACAAAGGGGAGAAATCTGTCATTAAATTCGTTGTATTTTGTGCACAATTCAATGCATTTCTCCATTGGGGAGGACAAACAGTACATAACATACCGAATATTTAACTGAACAAATCGTAACCGAAATGCAATCAAATCAGAAATAGACAAATTGGGGTATTTTTGGAAAGACCTTTTCTGTTAGTTTAAACAATTTTGATTAGGATTTTGACCGTTTGTTTTCATTTTTCGTATTCCCAATTTAAATTTTGTTGGGGAAGATGGGGCATGATGGGACATGGGGCAAGATGGGACAGCTTGATAACTTTATCAGCAAGCATCAGAAGGCGCTGTAATTTAGTGCTGTGAATAAACCGACAAAAGATAACAGGCATATTTGCATCAGAAACACGTATCGTTGGTCTTGAGTCTTCTCGGAAAAATAAAAAAAAAAGGTACTGGGGGACTTTAACTTTTACGGAGGTGAGATGTTTAGTAATACCTAGCAATTGCAGTAGGCTGCAGAGTTGTAATATTGCGTAGTGTTGCAATTTATATAGCAGTGAAGGGCGCCACCAAGCAAGCCTGCGGCGAACTGATTAAGCAGCCGCGAGAAACGAGGAGTGTGGGGCTGGCTGTGAATGGTGAGCAACAATTTCCTGTTTTAAAAACCTATATCCATGATTACTCCTAGTTATTGCACCCGTGATTATTCCCATTGTTAATAACCAGTTATCGTTTGTACCATTATGAATACATTATTGTTCCAACCTTCTGTGTTTGAGCTGAGCAAAAGGTCTCGCCACACGAGGTTTCGAAAATGGATGCCCTTCCAATCATACACGTGCCGTATTGCATGTAGGACTGTACACTTTTGCACACACGACGTTAGTGGCGTATTCCTGTTCCTTTAATACTTAATGATTATTCATGCTCTTATATTTTCCAGAACTAAATATCCATTGGTCAGAGATCTTCCACTGATCACCGATCACTGCATCCTGACCGAGCACTCGTCTCTCCACCAGCCCTTCGTTATTTTGTTCCCACCAATTTCCATGAATACCATCATATGAATAAATTGAATAAATGGTGCAGGGGGTCACCAAACACACACACACACCGAAGGTCTCCCCGCGTCCTC